AAGAGAGAGAGAGAGAGAGAGAGAGAGAGAGAGATAAAGCTTGAGCATTCTCGACTTTTCGAAATTTACCTCAAATCATATGTATGTGCTTATTTGGTTCAGTGTATGTGGAGTATGACTAACTTGGCAAACACCGAGCCCCTGTCAAACGCATGTGTACTCTGCCCCTATCAACTGGGATGAACAGTTTCACCTTTCTTTTCAGTTTTCCACTCTCTACTCTTAAAGAAAGTTACAGTGCTGCACATAATCTACTTAGTTTTTTTGTGTATGTCTAGTTGTTACAACCAACAGATAATTTTATTTCACAACCTAGTCTCTGCAATTTTACTAGCAACATTGTACTGACTAGACTCTAGCCAAGCATGGTTTATATCTGAGGAGCTGAAAACAGCCCTTTTGTCATCCAGTATTTTTCGTAAGTTGTTTATCATTACAGACTGAATGTTGGACATTATTTGTAATATATGGGTTGCAATGGAAGTTTTCATGACTCTACGAAATTGACACCGTCGTCTGCGATGTACCGGTCAGGTGCTTTGATATCACAAGCAGAAAACATTAGCTCGATTCCAGTCTGGGAAGGTTTTTATCGAATATCTCTGTGTTCCAGTTTATGTATTCTATCCTTCGTCGTTCGGGTTTGCAAAGACAGTCGTGGTCGAAGCAGCTAGCCTCTTAAACTATCTAAAATTGAGTCGATAGGGGCGTAAAACATAAGACATACTTAATCGCAATACAACTATTTCACTCTGTCCTATCGGAAATGGACTTGGCATCGGAGGTTCTGCCTTTTCCAAACAACCTGTGTTAGGGAAGGCTTTCAGGGCGAACAATTACCATAAACCCCTGGTATATGCGGCACTGATTGTTAATTTAAATTTACTTTCTGATTTTGTCCTTCGAAGATACAGTAGGTCAGGCTAACAGGGAGGTTTCGATAAAGCACTGTCCTAAACGAAACTTGCACAACCTGTTGGGGTCTCTACCAGTTTGAAGAAAGGCCTTTTACGACCCTGAACTGGCGGCTTGGGCAAACTATATTGGGAGGGGCGGCGGGGG